TTTCAGTCTGTTCATATCTATCTATCTATCTATCTATCTATCTATCTATCTATCTATCTATCTATCTATCTATCAAGAAACTGAAAGATAGTTGCACAAACAAGAATTGTGAGAGAAGAAATTGTTAGCAAAGAACATACGGTTACATCTAGGCATTGGAATTCTAAAATGATGAGACCTAACAGCCAATCTAGTGCTGCGCTGAAATTCGTAAAGTCGATGTACCAGAGAGGAAGGCTCATCAACACAGTTACCATGAAAATATTCCTAGAAAGGACACAGTGAAGCTACGTTACAACGTTGGGAAAGAGATTGAAGCCGTGATGGCACTTCAGGACTGATAACATTGCAGAATCTTTTATAATCTCTAAGTACGCAGCAGAACCACCATATATATATATATATATATATATATATATATATATATATATATATATATATATATATATATATCATCTTCGCATCTATGTGACTTTAGCACTTCGTTAAGTTTCTATTACGCAACTCAGTATTTTCAAAATAATATTAGTATTAATCAACTAATGTTAATATCACCTCATAATATCTGTTTTCTCATAAATATCTTATTTAATCGTCTGAGATGTTATTGTACAACTACGTAGCTGTTCAACACATTGCAAATAAATATATAGGAATGTATATTTTTTAATAATTCCTTTTTTATTTCAGATATATAAAATTTTCCTAGGTAGTAAGAAAGATATAACCTCGAAAATGGGATACGATATTATAAAGCTATGTATTACTGGGAATATTTGCATACTTATTTATCTATTGAGAATCTGTTAATCTAAAGTAAGAAAATGGAGATATTGTGGGAGATAGAAAGATATGCATACATTCAATTGATAGATAATGCTTGTCTCTTTATATCTATATATCTATCTTGGGTACTTCGACATGATATAATAATTAGCCAGCTTGTCTCGCTTGAGCAATTAAGACGGAGTAAAGAGTTCGATCCTTACTGGATGCTCATTATTTTCGGTCTTGTGCCGCCTCTAAGCTACGCTTAGAAAATCGCTATAACTATTTATCTTGGGCACTTCGACGTAGTTTAATGGTTAGCAAGTGCGTGTCTTGTGAGATCAGTGACGACCGAGTAGCGAGTTAGATCCTTACCAGGTGCTCCACACTTTCGACCTTGTGCCTACATCCAAGATACGCTTATAAAATTGATTAGGGTACATCGATATGGTGTAATGGGTAGCAAGCTTGCCTCGGTATATCAACTGCGACTGAGTAGAGAGTTCGATCCTCACTGGGGGCTCCATATTTTAGCCACTGTGCCTTATCTTTGTAATAGTTATCTATCTATCTGTCTATCTATCTGCCTGTCATGTGCAGCTAGAGAGTAGAAAGCCATATTGTAAATAACAACAATAGTTACAATAACAACGGTAATAATAACAACAATAGCAATAACATTATCAACAGGAATAACAACAACATTAATAACAATAACAACACTAAAATTAACAATAATGTCAATAATCATAACATTAATGAAAGCAAAAATAACAATAACAACACTAAAATTAATAATAATGTCAATAATAATGCATTTAATAAAAATAATAGTAACAATAACAACACTAAAATTGACAATAATGTCAATAATAATAATAAATTTAATAAAAACAATAATACCAATGACAACACTAAAATTGACAATATTGTCAATAATAATAATAAATTTAATAAAAACAATAATAACAATGACAACACTAAAATTGACAATAATGTCAATAATAATAATAAATTTAATAAAAACAATAATACCAATGACAACACTAAAATTGACAATATTGTCAATAATAATAATAAATTTAATAAAAACAATAATAACATTAAAATTGACAAAAATATCAATAATAATAAATTTGATAAAAATTATAACAAAACTAAAATTGACAACAATGTCAATAATAGTAAATTTAATAAAAACAATAATAGCAATAACAACACTAAAATTAACAATGATATCAATAATAATATTAATAAAAACAATAACAATAACAACACTAAAATTAACAATAACAATAGTAATAACAGTAATAAAAACAATAACACTAAAATCAACTATAATAAAATCAATAGCAATAACAACAATAATTACAATATTATTGTTATTATTATTATTAATAATAATTATAATTATTATTATTATTATTCATCTAAAAATAAAATAAAATTTGGTCTATAAATGTCCTCCATCTTATCCGTTTGAAGAATTATCTTTTCTTCATTTTTTCCCCTGTTACTTCTTTCGTTCAAATTGCATCTATCACTGTCACAAATGGAAAAAAAGAAAAAAAAATATGACTTCCTCTAACTTTGAAGCGATTTTTTTCAAGTAACCTTCAATTCATTCTCCGCTGTATTTTTTTTTAATTTTATTTTCCAAATATATATATATATATATATATATTTTTTTTTATGGTATTTCCACTTCCCCCCGTTTCCTCAGCCTTTCATC